GCTTTGGAATTAATATTATATTTAAGTAATTCATTATTGATTTAGTTGATACTTGAATAATAAATACATAAAATAATATAAATGTATTAATACATTATTATTAGATAAAGATTCAATTTTGTAAATCAGTAATTTTACAAATTCTAGTTAAGACGATGATACCCATTCATTTTAGGTCCTCTTAATATTTTTTATCTTTTACAAATAAATCAAAAAAATATTTTATTCCAGTTACGTTTATGTTTCGTGGAAAAAATAAAATATTTACAATCGTATCAGTTACTTCTGTGGCTTTCAATTTTGTAACTTCCGTTTCAGAGGTGCCTGCAGACAATTCCATGTCAATTAGCCCAGTACTGAGAATCTAAAATTGAAAAGAACAAAAAAGCTATGAATTATGTTCAAGAACCGTGAAATATAAATAATATGTTTTGAAACACCTAAATTAAACGTTCGTGAAGTTAACTGACGCGTGCTTAGAATTTGAGCAGCTAAAATGCAATTTTATTTAAAATAAGCGATGTAAAGTGAAATACAAAATTTTAAAACCGAGTAAAAAATATCATGACCCTGATTGAAAAGTTTTGCAATATAATATGATATTATATTATATAGATAGTAATATTATAGTAATATTATAAGCACGTGCATTTCATAACCTCAATAAATGTACCCATCTTATACATAGCTATATAGTATTCGTATAAATTGCATAAGCGGATTTATTCAATAACTAGGTTTTTAAAATAATTGAAACTCCAAATATGGAAATATTACCTTTTATTTATATTTATGATATTATGACCTACCTTTTTAATAATATTGTCATTCGTGATGGTCCCTGCTTCTTTGCCAGTTGCAAATCTATACGGTCTAAGACGTTGGTATCAAACATTCAAACATCGTTTTCCAATCACTAATACCTCCGTTATACATAAAGAAAAATATAAATAATTAATAATAATTTAAATACATCATATAGTTATTAATTATTTTCACATTAATAGTGTTGAACAATTACTGAATTCAAAGACAGTTTACAAAACACGATATCGAGTATCGTGATTCGTGGTTTAAGTACCCACCACGACTTTGTTCCTGTCCCATAACTTTTAAAAATTGTAAAAATATTCATTACATCATGTTTTTTTTAATTCAAGCATCATCGTACTATGGCATTTTATATGATCGTCGTTTTACTGTTTTGTACTAAACATTACTAGCACAAATAAAGTCAATAATAATCCCTACACAGAAATAATGTGAATTTATATTGAAGAATAAAATGAAGCGTAGATACCCAATAAATCGGTGCATTTCAAAACTGCATCATTATTAACTGGAACCTCAACACATTTCAGTATCGTTTTTTGTCCATTCAAAAGCATAAAGTATATTATTAATTTATGAAAAATGTGTGAAATACGTTTGAATCACCGTTCGATAAATTCTTTCCTTGATTCTCAAAAACACACAGTTAAAACGATTTATTAATAAAATTCCGATCTACTATCATAAAACCAATAAATACAATTTTTTACTAAAACAAATAACTTCATTAAGTAACTTTTCGATATATATATCGAGTCCAACAAAGATCATTTCTACGATAATTTCTCTTTTAACCAGCAATCTACTTGTTGCGACTACAACTCCAAATACAGCGCCTAAGACTATACAGCAACTGTTCCTACCCACTTTTTAGTTTCGTAATTGAATTTTGTTACTTTTGAGTACAACAGCTGTAGTCTGCAGTAAGAAAATCATAACTCACTAGAAACGTCTGAGTGCGTAATAATTTATATGGTAAAATTAATCTGTAGAGAAAATGTAAAATATTAAAATAAAAATATAGTCATAAAAACAAAAATAGAATATTTTTAGTGTTGAATATAACAGCTGTAGTCTCGATATAAGCATCTGTGTTCGTATCAATTTATATTTTAAAATAAATCTGTAGGAATGTTTGAAAAATCAATATTTGTTATGAATTTTATTATTTAACTAAAATAAAAAAACATAGTCATTAGGTAATTAAAACATAAATATATCTAATATCCAATATACACGGTGGGCTAGGTACCTAGTTAAATGTTGAAACGGATGAGAATTTATTTTATCTTATTCTTTTTGTTTTTAATTACAATTATTGAATTATACACATAGAAAGTTATTCATTGTACCTACGTTAAATATAACATTTATTCTAATACATTTTTACGAAAAACATAACAACCCCTTAAAGTTAGAAATAATAAAAGTAGAAAACTAATAATTAAGGGTGACGGTGCAGGTTTTTCCAATTTTTCAAAATTACATCAAATTTAAAAATTATATTTAAAATTTTAGTTACTGCCATAATTGTTATACTTTTCCACTAATCTACAACTCGATGCCTATTAGGGGAGGAAGTATTATATCAACGAAAATGATAACTTCACTGGAAAAACTGAGTGTTTCGAGCAATGTAGAATAGTAGCTTTCGTTAATTTTTGTTTTATTTAATAGAAGAGAACATTTTTCAGGGTCAGATCAAAGGATAGATTTTCATTTTACTTCAAATAGTGGTAGAAAAATGCTTTTGAACAAGATCAAAATTATTGTGAATTATTCAAATGCATATTTTAGGGTCTAGCTGTAATTATAATTTTTAAAATCTTGCTTTGATCCGACCTGCAAAATGTTCTCTTCTTTTAAATAAAAAAAAATTAACAAAATCCGACTATTCTACAGGGCGTTAGAATGTTTCCTGTAATAGGTACATGTTTTTGTACTGAAAAACGCACCGGCTCCGACGCCCTTAATCTATTACGATGATAATCTATTACTGAATACATAGTCAAATAATTTAAATACATAGGTACATAATATCTAAGTTATTTATACTACTTTATAGCTACTTTACCTTTTTAAAAAACATGGAAAACAGATTAAATATTTGGTCATCGGATAAATTAATTCTGACAATAATAACTACTGCAGGCTATCGTAAATTACACTTGGCTAAGCCAGGTTCAATAAACATGCAAGTATTAAAACTACCCACCATAAATCTCTCAACATAATTATAGTCTTAAGCGAGAATGAATGATGATCGTGTTTTTTTAAGTTCATGTAAAGCTAATATGCTAACGATGTTTGACTAGTGACTACCATAGCAGTATTTACATATAGTTTCTCGGGATCCTTGTCGATGTAGGTATAACATTATAGTTAAGGATGTAGGTATAACATTATAGTTACGGATGTCGGGTGCCTAAGATATATTGTAATAATATATTTTGCAGCGCACGTCACTAATTAATTACATATTAGTATATTACTATATTCAGTAGGTACTTATTGGATATTTGGATAGCATGTTACGTGCTCACAGTGAATTGTGATCACTGTGATGTTTAGTTAATGACAGTTAAACGTACCTTTTTAGTACATTTTTAGGAACCTCCTTATAATGTAACCAGAAAGTATAACTGTTGAAAAAAATTAACTTCCTACAGTTAAACATTAAAATTATAGGTACATATTATAATTTAAAACAAAATATCGACATCTTCAATAATTTAACAATAACTTATATTACCTGGTATACAATAACAGTCAGACTATGTATATAGGTACCTACCTCCATACATATTTATAAATTTATATATTTCAACCATATTATTCAACTGAGTGCATTTGCGAACAATATGCCAGGGTTTGTTTTATATTTCATTCATATAATATATGAACAACATTTCAACAAACCAAAATATAAAATATGAAATCGCAATAATGTCAATTATTTATGAACACTAATGACCTAGTCGTCCAAGGAGAATAAATATAAATTTAAAAAAAAACAATACATTATCATATGCATATATACATAATATGTTACACATAAAAACACAGTATACACCGAACACAATTTAACATTATTGAATTTGTGCAATGTGATAACATTGTGAATTCGAGGGTGTAACATTTTATAATATATTATGCTGATACGTTTAAGATTCAGAGGTATATATATATATGCCATTTTTAAGAGGTTAACAAAAATATATTTCAAGTTCCACGATCGGGGTAGATGAAGAATGTATAGGTACCTATAATGGGATTTCTAATTTTTTTTTTAACGAAAAATTGATCACATTTTTTTCACACACAATTTCACAAATTTTAACACATTGCCTAGGTATTTATATGTTTAACGTTAATATTAACTTACCAAAATCAGTGGTATCCATCTACGTTATAATACGTTTTTCTTTCTTTGTTTCGCAAGAATCTTACGGTGTTACGATTTCGGCTCACCAACCGATTTAAAATTAAATAACATTATATCGACGGGATAAAAAAAAACTGTTTACTGTGTTATAAAGGCTGATGCCTTTATTTTTTACGTATAACAGGAGAAAAATTCTCTGGTGCTTTTTATTCGTAGATTTAGGCTCAGATGTATCAGATGTATGCATAATATATCAAATGTCCGATAAATATATTTTCAGTGCAAAACGAGTGATCTACGCGTACAAGTACCGTCTGTACTCTACTACAACAGCCCATCCTTTTAAATAGTTTAATTTTAAACTTTTACAAATAATACTTCAGGTGTAGCGGTCTGAATCCGCTTGATCTCTGAAGTACTCTCGTGTTTATTGATTCGCTTCCAACTTAACTTAAATACCGATTAGTTGTGGTATAATTGAGGATAGGTAAAAACAATATTATTAACAAAACTATGCTATAGAATATTGAATAGCTTCCGATGATTAATATACAAATCACTTTTTCCATAAATGTAAATTGTTTATTTTGTTTAATATGATATGTACCCGTTACAACATATTTTAATTAATTGTAATTAAATTACTATAGGTATAAATGTATGAATAATTTATTTTAAAATAATCATAATAACAAATTATATCTCATAGGAGAATATCTTTTAAGTGTCTGATACAATTATTTTCTAAGTCCAACTACACAATATGATAGACGATATTATATTTTTATGAACTGTTGACGATATGTGCCATTTTATCAACTAATGGTCTTAAAGTTATTTCAGCAACCTGAAAAAATCAAACATTTTAATAAATATGTCTATATATGTATTTCAAGTTATATAATATATATATGGGTAGGTATTCATGTACATTTGGCATGTATATAATAGTATAATATATACTAATGTATTATTATTTATTACTTATAATTATTATTATCAGGTACACGTCACGTCAAAGAAATATTGTTCCAAGCATGTGCGACCCAATTTTTAAACCAAAGAGAAATAATATTCGGGAAATACATGGTTACATCTCATAATAATTTCAAAGGTTTTCTCGGAAACACTCAAATATTTATACATTTCAGACTTACGTTAACACGTTTAGGTGCACTTAATGCATATAACATGGCTTCAGCAATATCAATTGTTTGCAATGTTTCATTATCTTCAACTTTATCTAAGTTGAATTTTGAGGTCATTTTAGTATTAACAAATCCCGGGCTGATACTCTGATAGTAAAAAAAAAAAAACACAAAATATTTTTCATTAAAGCGATGTACAAAATATAATAAATCCTGAACGGAAATAATCATTGAATGTGATAATTTATTGTATATTTAAATAATTCAAATTTGCATAAAAAAAAACAATTTTAAAACTGATCTGATATAATATTTGGATATTATCTTTTAGAATAAAAACGGCCCCAAGTTAATAATATTGTAAAAACTTTTAACTATGAAAATAAGAATTCCTGATATTATCGATAAATTAAATTGTAGTTAAGCGTATTAAAATAAAATATAAAATAAGTAAGTACCAGGCACTCCAATAAAATAACTAGGTATGTATGAACAATATTATTATTTTTAATATAAAAATCAGCTTATGTTTTATATGATTGATAAACATATTACAATCACAATATTTCCATATTATTTAAAAAATGAATAAATTTAGTACCGTCACTCTGATAGGTAGATTTTCCATGGTCATAAACTCTCTTAAGTATTCTGTAAGCGCAGTGACGCTAAACTTAGTAGAACCGTAAACTGAAAAATCTTTCAATCCAGACATTACGTAATGACCGAATATACTATAAATAAAAAATAAAACAGTTACTGAGTAAATATTAATTATTTAGATAAATAATCTAATTTAACATTTAAAGTGAAATGTTTCAAAATTATGAAGGGATAATATAAAAACAATGTTTTCTTCTAAAATATTCAAGATATCAAATATATTATTATAAATTATGAGTGCAAGTATATTATAATAAATACAGATTATAATATTTTACAATGACTATAATGTTAATTTGTGTACCAACGTAATACAAGGCACACGATATTATGTGTTAGACAGTATTTTTTTTAGATAAAATATTGTACTTTAATATTAAATTATTATCAGTTATAACATGTTACAATGAGGCTTAAAAACCAAGATTAAGGTATATTAAGGTATATTAATATTAAAGTGATTAAGGTGTAATATTATTTTAATTACTTATCAATTTTATCAATTTGTTGTCTGTAATTTGCATCTATTTTCACGATTTGTGCATGGTAAAAAAAATAAACCTTTAAGATTTCGTTGACTCCATAATTTGAGTTTTAAATATTTTTTACTACCTATTTTATGATAAAAACTAAACAATAGGTTCGATACTGCTAAAGATATGGAAATTTAAAAATATAAAAACAATTAATTTAAATAATCTGTGGGATGTAGTCAGCTTTCGACGAAGCTTTTTTAAATTTTATTTCACAATACGTAATATAATTGTATTTATTTATTTTAATTGTTTGACCTAAAGCTTCGACCAAAAATCGTTACACTGTGTTAGCTGGTAGGTAATTCACATCACATATACAATTTTAAATATTTAAATTTAACTCTAAAATGAAGTATAAACGTATTTATCTATTGGTAAGTTTTATTTAAGTGTCAAAAATATAATTTTTTGTTTAACACCTACCTGTTAACGTTTAATATGTGTCCTTCTTTAATTTCGTTTTCCTTCATGATTTTAATAGCTTCTCTACAGCAAATGTGCAGACTCAAGACGTTCGTATCAAACATAATTTTCCAATCATTTGTGTCGCCTAGAACAAAATTTAACAATATTACATTTGTTATGTGCCTGCAATAAATGTAATATAGATAATTATGATGATTTATGATTTATGATCTAATTAATCTGTTACACTTTACACATATGATTTTTCATTACATTTGTACTTATTTTTAACGATCGTAATTATAATGGAATAAGAACAGCTCAACAATTATAATAAAATGAACTAACATTTCATGAACCAGCCGTGAAACTATATGAGACTTATTTTTTCAATACAACTTATGAACTGCATCGCTTGAATAAATATGAAATAAATTTCGGATCTGAAGGGGGAAATAAAAAACCGAATTTTACCATCGCATAAATATTTAGTGCTGGTCAAAAAGTTTCTATCGATTTATTAAAAGTGATTAAATTTCACAACATTGGTAAAGCAGGTGTTTGGTATAAATTATTAATGACACGTGCTTATTCAAATGTAATAATAAGAATGTCTATACCAACACATCTACCTACGACGTCGTTCTGAAAGAATATAATATAGGTTTACAAGTTTATTTATAGTTGATTACAATTAATACGATTGTACCGATGCATAAAATGCATTATGTATAATATTGCATATAATAATTATTAATCATAGGGGAATGACTCGAAAAATGACAATAAATAATTATTAACACACAATGGCACCGTGGTGGCATTGCGATTATAATTATAATAAAGTACCTACCTATAAATACTGAACAATAAGTACCTATACAATATCTGACAGAATATTATACAAATCTGTGATGGACTGTTTTATGTTTACATAACCATTAAATCATCACGAGGATGGTTATGTTTATAAAATGGTATAGTGAGTAAAATGAAACCAAAACAGTAAAATATTATACAAATCAAATAATATGTCGAATGTTGATGTATTGCGTAAGTTTCATAGTGCGAACCGATTGTATCCGAATGTCGAATACTGATACTACAGTTTAAAAATAATTGTATGTTGAACAACGGATAACCAAATGAGTTAGAAAAATAACAGATATCTGTATAGAGTATAGACGTTGAAAGTTAATTTCAAAGTTGCTATAACACAGGTCAATTTACAAATATAATCTAATTTCTATTTTTTTTTTTTTTACCTTAACAATATTTTAAGTTGCACATTCTATTATTTAAAAAATAATATTATTTTAAATATTTACATACATTATTGAACACTAAACTAAGTCTCTAAATTTACCTAAATAATACTATATCATATTGTTTGTATAGCTTTAAAATATTAAACTATAATAAAATACCAATGTTGACATTTCAATAATGTCAATATGATATTTACGTAAGTATATTGACATTATTAAAATGGAAAAAAAATATAAAAAAATACTCTTATGGATTAAAATTATTACAAAAAATTTTTTTTTAAAGTAGTAAGGGGGGGGGGTAAGTTAAATATAATATATTTCATACCTAATGATATTATCTTGCATGTCTACCGAAATATTTTTGAGGACCAAACCAAATGTATTTAATTCTATTTAACGAAATTCTCTATAATATTAATTGTTTTTGTTGTACTTGACAATTCTTAGTATGGTATAGTCTCACTATATACTTATGTGTCATAACTCATAAGTGTAAATACAATATACCTAGTGTTAAAATTGAGTTGTATTTGTTAATTTTTTTTTAAATGAAAGTATCTTCTTGATATGGTTATGGAGATGGTTGTCATCTTGTGGGTTCACTACTTCGTAGGTATAGGTTGTTTGAAGTTTATAGGTTTGATCTAATATTTTAGGCATGGTTTCGACTGTTGTAGAAAGAAGGCGTTTTATTGATAAAAGTTCTACACAGGTTTTGCACAATACTGGAACAGATTTCTCATAAGATGGCCGTAACACATCTTGGCGTGCCCTATTCGTATAGTCTGTTGATAATTACTTCATCTTTACGATCAAACGATTGGGGTTTAAGTCAGTATTCAAATTTGAGTACTTATAATTTCCATTAGTTTATTATTCCCTATGTGCGCCTTTCGAATTCCCCTTATGGCAGAACAATAGTACCTAGTCGACGATTTTATAAATTTCGATTAGTCTGGAATAAGAATGTATCTCCGTGTTTGCATTGCTTATTGATGTGGCTATAGCCCACTTGGATATTGTCTATCGGCCACTTCGTTTCCTACAATGCGACAATGGCCTGGTTTCCATAAAAACTTATGTTCTTTTTTACTCTTGAGATAATGTTACCTATTTTAATTGCTTAGAGTACTTGAATGAAAATTATATTTTAGAATGTTAAGTTCACTCAATGAATCCGGAATCCATACAAATATAAATTGTGGGGTTGGGCAACTGAAAAGTGGCCATCTGGATGATTTTATTAGAAAAATTCAAAATAGCAAATTTGTAAATCTGATTATAAGAAAAATGTTGATGGTAAAAAAATGTATCTAAATCAAGTAGTTTATTTTTTAGAATTGTTTTAAATGTCAATATTTTTTTTGAGTAAATTAATTTAGAACGCAATAACTTGTTTCAAAATATTATTTTTGGAATTTCCTGACATGAGTATATTTCTTAAATTATTTACCAATCATAACATTTCCACAATTTTTGCCATACGTTTGAGTAGCATATTTTATTTACTTTGTCATGTAAATTTACACTCTGTATAATTTTTGGTTTTCCAGATTTGATAAAACTGTAGCTATGTAGTTGAGAGACAATTTAATTCTGCGAAACTAAAGAAGCGGTAGTTCTCTAGAAATGCATAGAACGCTTGAAATTAGGTCACTACGAAATGCTCTAAAGTTGTCATCCTCAAACCACCATAATGCATTGTGTTCATTTTTTTTTTAGAATGTTAGTATTTGCACTATTATAACAAATTGATCCGTAGTTCATTTTAGATCTAACAAGATATACGTAGGTACTATCTATATAGATTCATCAAAACAGTGGTTTCCGCACACCCAGTCGAGAATCGAGATGGCTTAATAATAATTTATAAGCTTAATAATTATTCATACATAAGTACCTAGGTACATTGTTTAAAAAAAACATCGGAAGTGTAACGATTTTGATTTATTACTATAGTATGGAAAGTATATGAATATTAAATATACTTATTTAAAGCGTTGAAAAATAAATTGAAATTTGAAACATACAATATCTAAAAACCAACAAAGGTAATAATATATTATTAGGTGAATGTATCTATACCTATAAAAAGCTATACGTATAGTGTAAAATTATTTGAAAACCATTCATACAATATCTATAAAATACACATTTTATACCTGATTTATTTACATAATAATATTAACACTATTAAAACTTACCTAATACATCAGTTAGCTTCAAAACTCCAGCATTATTAATTAAAACATCTACAGATTTGAATGTATTTTTTACCCACCCAAAAGCATCCAAAATATTTTGTTCCGAACATAAGTCAACTTTTACGTAATGAAAATTGTCTTTTAATTCATTTTTCAATTCCTGAAAAACCAAACCAGTCACAATTTATTAAACTGAAAGTTTATTACCTACTTAAAAAGCTTAAGACTATAAAATTTAAATGAAATATAAAACAAAAATATTTTTTTCAATTTATTCAAATGCATATATTTATAGTTTAAACCAATGAAATAATTAAAAATTAAATTATTTTTATTTTATTTACAACAAATTTGCAACATACCTGTAATCTATATTCTTTTCTAGCAAATCCAACAACAATCATTCCATTTTTAACTAATTTCCTACATATTGCTTCTCCAATACCAAAAGATGCACCAGTCACTACAGCAACTTTTCCAATCCACTTGTCCATTTTCAAATAGGTATTAACTATGACGAGTTTCGTGCAGAACAATATAGTTTCTAATAACGGGTATGGATTATAAAATAACTATATATATATATACTTATACTATTTACTATATACTTCGAATCTACACGAGATATAATAATTAGAGTTGAAAATATAATTAATATAAGACTACATATTATATCGCATAGCTATTAATAACCAAATCATACAACTATTGTCATTGCAAATGTAAATCATGCGATGATGTATTTGAGTATTTCTGTAACAGAGTCACAAGGTCACTTATATAGGTATATATTATAAACTCGAATCAAATGCTCTCTACGATTACTGCATTAATAAATATATTACACTGATATTGTACTGTTTATTTTGTCTTTTGTCGATCCATATTCCTAGTTCAACAGGTAGAATTATTACAGGATGTCCATCAATATCAATATTATACCTATATTACCAATCAATACAATATTATATTATAATTTATATTATGATATGCATTATTGTCACTTTTTGCATAACCACATGTCCACATGATAATTTATGAACGTAATATATCAAAATAAAAATTATATCATATTATATTCATATATTACTAAATGGTATTCACTACCATATTTGTATAATAATATATAGGTAGGTATATATTTTACTAGCTAAATTCCCCGGCGTTGTCCGTAATATTTGCTTGTGATTATCCGTGTAGTATATATTATCAGGTAGGCCAGTTACCTGCTGTAGATCGCGGACCCCGTGTGGTTTATATACTTGAGTGTAAATTATTAACTCTAAAGTATCAAAGTTATGTCGTTTTTACTTAATTCAACCTAAGGTGGATTAATACAAAATTCTAACCTAACCTAACCGTACTGAATATCCGACGAAAAAAAAAAGTGTCATTGTATGTACCTATAGGTAAAGGAGAAAAATAAAAAAGTAAAAATAAGAAAAAACAATGCAAAAATTTGTCCACCACATCCGTGGTTTTGATCTTGTGACTTTCCGTACTGAAATTCATTGAAGCGCCACTGCGCCAACAGGCATTAGCAAGAGATATTTAATATTAAAACCAATAATAACTATATTTTACAAACAAACATTTCCATTGTGAATCTCAAAATCCCTGTTATTTGTACATCTCCCCGGTTCGGACCTCTAATGTAACCTTTTTAAATTAGCCTATCTTCTTCCCAGAGGTCTAATCTATCTTTGTAACAAATGTCATTTCAATCGAATGAACGGTTTAGGAACACTGAATTTCTCGGCCGGATTATTTTGGAATAAATCGATTTTTTTCAAGCTGGCTCTATATAAATAAACATTTATAGATACATTTCCAAATTTTGGATTCTGAGTGGAACGATGAATGTATTGATTTTACAATGATGTGTGTTTTTTTATTTATTTTTTTATTTTTGTGTCTGTCATCACGGTTTAGGGAAGTAAAACTACTACAATTTTCTTCAACAGTATCTTGTTCGATGGGAAAGTGAATCTAGTTATTGCCTTCGGGAAGTCAAATTTTAAATTTCCCAATAGTTTTCAAAAGAGACGGGTAAAACAACATAAAAATTAAGGATAAACGGAAATTTTTACGCAAAAACGGTTTTCCACAAAATCGATTTTGGTTTTTGGTGTAACTCAAAAACAAATGAATGCAAACAGATGAAATTTTCACGGGTTATTTTAATTTGGATTTTCTATACATTATAAAATTTTCAAAATATTATAATTTGCTTTGAACTGTTTAGGAACATTTTCATTTTCCACTTTTTTTTAGTTTTTTTTCTAAAAATATCAATAAAATGTTATTTGTTGGTTAAAAAAGCTTGACAATTTAATAGAAGGCTCCTATTTTAAATTGAAATTTGGACGAAATTACATATTAATAAACGTAGAATAAATATTTTAGTTATTTTGTTGTGATTCTATAATATTATTCGTGGGTACTTGAAACTTCTAATGTGTACTATTATATATCTATGATAGTATCACGGTTTGTTGTTTATGTATAACGCGTTATAAGTACCTAATGGATATTGTGATATGATTAATTTGGAATTTATTATAGGTAAGTATTATAGGTCAATTTTTTTTTTTTTAATACCATACAGATGTATATAATATGTCTAATACCTAGACTGACATACCGTCTCCGCTCAGAATCGTTTTTCTTGTACAATGATATTATATCATTGAATTCAAATTTAACACCATCCATTATACAGTGACCCACTTGTAACCTACTGTACAGCAGAGCACCTTTTTTATCATTGTAGTCTGATGCAGTAAAAACTTATTTTTTTTTATAGCAACACATATTTTGAACACCATATTCGGATAGGACTAATTTTTGTAAGTAATTTTGATGAGTCAACTATGGATCTAAATTCAAAATTTAATGAATAAGAACCATGCCAATTTTAATAAATAATACATTTTTTATTATTTTTAAAAATTTATAAAATCATTTATAATTAATTCTTATTGGTTACTTTTTGAATATTTGTACTTATTTTTTTTTATAAGTATTATAAACAAGACTAACATAGGTACTAGGTAGTATGGGTACAAAATTATTTATTAAAAATCGATTGTTGATATCTATGGTTTCTCAATTTTCCTTTTAGAGGAAAAATGTCTATCGGCATGCTACTTATAATAATATGTAATATGTACAAACGATTTTTTTCAATTGCCCTTTGGTAAAATATTGTGGTTATATAATATGATTTAATGAATTCGTTGCGAAATTACAGATTCCTTGAAACTATAACAATATTTAATGAATAACATTCCTGGGTCATTGAAATATAATATACACCACACGTCATTGTAAAATATAGCATATTCACAATTAATATGTTAATTATTGAAAATAATTTATCAATATGACGATTCCTGTATGACCCATCCGATGTTAATATTATAATCACCAACCCAGCTATTCACATTGTTACGGACACAATATCATCGTTTCCAACGAACGACAGCTACAAAGACATTAACCACGACTATATCCACAACCTAAGAAAGAGAGACGGGAACGGCTCTTGATTCTTATAAGGGAGTCCTCAGTACAGCATTTCGAGATGTATAATAGGTACCTACCATATTATAGCCGTTGAATCTTAAGCATCATTATACTATCTTTAACCGAGGTCCTGCAGAGCAACGTGGAGCGGCTTGTAAAATTGCATCTATCACTTGTGTTCTGTTAAATAAATAACCATTTCAGTGATTTCACATATTATACTCTTGAAAGTCGTAAATAAATAAATTAACAGTTATAACAATCTGGATCACTGGTAGAGTTACACGCATCAACATCCATAATAATGAATCGGTAGTTATTATAATAGTATAATACGTTTGTTTTTAATGTAACTTCTTGGCTGCACATTTACATAGGAACCTACCTACGAACAAACTTAGTCACCCAAACTTAACAAATTATTATATTAACAAATCCCTGATTATCACTCTTTTAATCTATTCTTAAGTATTAAATGTACTCATGGATCCGATATTAATCAATAATACAGAATCAATATATTCTACCTAATTATCTTATACTAGATATATAGATACCTACATCCGAATCATCAGTTCACTCTTAAAATATTCATTGCTTCATAATATCTAACGTTTAAAATATTTATAAATATAATTACCAGCTATTGGGTGGCTTGGCGCGTTGGATGCAATCAGTCACTCAACGCGACTGAGAGTAAGTAACGGCCGCTGCCACTAGTTCCTGCATGGTTGATCACCCGGGTTCTTAGTGCGCAAAAACCTTGCCACATAAACAAGTGTTTTCGACCGTACCAACCCTATCCACATTACAGGCTAATGACCTCAGTCGTCGAAACCTAAAACCAATAAAAAAAATTACCTTTTGTAGGTAATGTATAAAAAAAATTACCTATTGTAGGTTATTTATAAATTTAATCTATTTCATAGATATTCCAATAAATAATTTTTAACATTAAATGCTGTGTTTTAAAAAAAAATTTCCATTTTCCAAAAACAAAAAGATAATACAATTAATATCAAAATAATATAAAAGTAAAAAGTTTACCAATAAATCACGGTAATACCATTAGCTACTTATGTAAAATATTCATTATTCAAAGCCACAAATATATAATATATAAGATAGTAAATAGAACAAATTGTAAGTTGAAACTCGATTAATAATTAAAATGATAATTTATATTGCTAGGTCCAGAAAAAATATTCATTATAATACTATACGAGAATGTGGTATGTCAATCATAATATTATAATGTCGCCTTTAACATTGAATCACATTTAACATTAAGTCACATACCAATAAGTTTAGAAATTACAATTTTTTTACATGGATTTTTTTGGGCTGGGTAAAACTTTTTTTTAACCCATTGTCCTAAGGCTGATTTTCGTAACGCTTTGTTTATTGCCATAGAAACGCAAATCAACAATTAAAACAAATAACAAATTTAACTAAACATTTTTCACTGCACTACTAGGTATACCCAAAATCATGTCTATGATTTCCCGATTTTCCTTTCGGAGGAGAAATATCTAATAGCTACTTATAATATAATATAATGACGAAATTAGTTTACATAATTTTATGCCGATACGAAACAATATTTTTAAAAACTACTATTTTTATCGTTAATATTTTTAAGTTTCAAGTATTTTAAAAAATAGCATACTTTTTTAATTTCACATTATAAAACAGACATTTTCTAAGACTGATACCTATGAAAAAATTTAATTTAAGATTTAAGAAGCATTTTCCTTCCATTAACTCATTTTTATAGAACGATTAGTTACTTATATACTATTTTTAATATTTCGACGAGAGAAGTGACACAGGATTGTGTGCAAAATATTGGTACAGTACTAGGTACTTATCGCTCATCCAAACTTCAAACAATGACAACTACCTAATTAACTACCTACTTTCTCATCGAAATTCAACTATTGTATATCACTTCTTACAAAAATTC